AAGACCATCCAGTTCATTTTTCCATTCCAATTCCACACTCTGGTGCAAAGACAGTCTTCCAATTACAAAACTGGTTTTTACTGTGTGACTTTTCTGTGCAGCTCACCATCCAATATGAACACTGCTCCACTGGAGAGATGTAATGTATTTCTATTAATAAATACACCATTTAAATATCCATTTCTCTTGGAAGTCTGGCCAATGTTCTGACTGTATGAAATTACAACTCTATGGAGGACAAAATTAAGTTTCTGAACCTGTGAGGCTGCATCCCGGTTTTGGACCATCACATCCACACAGGGCCCGCTGAGGCAGCTGCCAAGTTGTTTCTGACCTCAGAGACTGCACTGCCAGGCAAACACAAACCTTCCCCTCTTTCAAACTAGAACAAAATATACAAGGCCAAAGGCAAGGCTGTAACAAGATGTTTTCCTTCATGTTTATTTCCATTAGGAAATCCCTTTTTTAAACTTCAGCATCCAAAAAGCATAGTATCTCCTCGCCCTTTGAGCCATTATTACCTAGAAAGAATATGCCAGGCAATTTTCTAAATGATGACTTTCAATTTTTGGATTTTTCATTTGACACTCCTCACCCCATAAAGGGTGATTTATAATCACCCTGTTCTTCTCAGAACTATTTTCATATTTAAAAATGACCCACACATACACATAAATATTCATTATACTGCTGACAAGTACAATTTCACTTTCTCACACCACGTCAGCCGCACCGTATAGAAGAGGGGGCGCCACCTATCCTACGCTTTCTTCCACACTTTTCCTTTTTGAATGATGCCTGCTAGTCCGTTTACAATGCTGTGGTCTTTCATTCTGCCTGTCTTGTGATCCAGTGTACAACCTGGACACAAGGACGGTGCTGAGGGGCCACTGAACAACCCTGTACTGGATTAAGAGGAAAACAAATTTTACACCTGAGTTGCTTTCAAAGAAAGGATCAACAAGCAGCCATAGGAAAGGGATCACAAAAACCCAGCAGGACCCACCAGGAATATCAATTACTGCTGAAAGATACTACAGCTGAGTGATGTCATGAATTCAGATTCAAAGAAAATGGAAGAGTAAGTAAACCTCGATTTCACCTACCTCACTCTCGCTCTTTGTGTCTTTGGAGTTTCTCCTAACACTGATGCTCGGTTCTCTTCCTTTGCATTCACTCCCTGGAGAAGCTCACCTGGTCCTGTGGCTTTACTGACACTTATCAATCTCTCCCTCCACCCAAACTCATCCCTGCCCTCGCTAAATCAACTGGGAATGGATTTACATTCCCAACAGATATCTGTAACTTAACATGTCCCAAATCCAATTCCTGATCTTCCTTCCCAAATCAGCTCCACCCACAGCTTCATCCTGGTCTCCTCACAACGTCATACCTGACTCCCTTTTCCTCACACCTCACCAAAATCCTGTTAGTTCTAAACTAATCCCCGAAACAACCAATTATCACCAGGTCCATTACTACCACTCTAGCCTAAGTCCCCATCACCTCTCACTTACACATTCTCCCTTTCTCCTTTTCCAGTCACACTGGTCTCTCATGGTTTCAACACATCAGGACATGTGCTGGCCTGTTCCTGTCATTTCCTCTGCCTTGAACACTTGTCCACCGATACCCACTTAGCTAACTCCCTCACCTCCTCCTAGTCTATGTTCAAATCTCATCTTCACAATAAGCCCTGCACGGATCATGTGTTTAAATTATGCAACTGTATTCCCCCATACCAACTCCCCATGTCCTTACTCCTTTCCCTGGGCCTCATACAGTAAAGCATCCTCCTGCAATGCGGAGACCCAGGTTCAACCCGTGGGTTGGGAAGATCCCCTGGAGAAGGAAATGGCAACCCACTCTATTCTTACCTGGAAAATTTCATGGAATGAGCCTCGTGGCTCCATGGGGTTCCATAGTCCATGGGGTCGCAGAGTCAGACACGACTGAGCGACTTCACTTTCACTTATCCCCAATCACCGTATCTTCTAACATACTGAATAGAATTACTTCCTCTTTATACTTTACACATCATATATTGTCTACTGCTTTTTTAAAAATTTTATTTTTGGCTGTGCTTTGTTGCTGCTCGTGGGCTTTCTCTAGTTGCAGCAAGCAAAGGCTACTCTCTAGTTGCAGTGCATGGGCTTCTCATTGTAGTGGCTTCTCTTGTGGCACAGCACGGAGTTCTAGAGCATGTACACTTCAGAAGTTATGGCCCATGGGTCTAGTTGCCCCTTGACACATGAAATCTTCCAGGAGCAGTGATTGAACCCATGTCCCCTGCATCGGCAGGTGGATTCTTAACCACTGGACCACCAGGAAAGCCCCTGCACTTCTCTGATAGAATGTCAGCTCTGTATCATGCAACTGAATGACAATAAACAAGCAACTAAATAATCCTTGAAAGAGATCAATAATTATGTGATTAAATGTACACTGCTGAGAATTCACTTCCACAAAAATTTTAACAGCCAGTCTTCCCTGGTGGCTCAGACTGTCTGTCTGCAATGCAAGAGACCCGGGTTCGATCCCTCGTTTGGGAATACCCCCTGGAAGAAATGGCAGCCCACTCCAGTATTCTTGCCTGGAAAATCCCATGGACGGAGAAGCCTGGTAGGCTACTGTCAATGGGCTCACAAAGAGTCAGACATGACTGAGTGACTTCACTTCTTTACTTCATGTGTATACATATATATATATAAAATATACACATATATATATCAATGTACCCAAAATGATCTCACTACATAGATCCCATTTCTGACCCTCTTAAGGGCTTCAAAAATCCCAAACCTAGAGCCTCACATCTACTTTCATCAAATACACTCATCCATACCCAGAATTTTTACAAATTAATCTCAAATATTGTCTCCTACTTAGTTTTCTCACCAAAAACATTTAAACAACAATCTAATCATAAGGACATTCTAGAACGACATGTAGGACATTCTATAACACAGCTTAAATTATGTGGACTTAAAATCATGAAACACACAAGGGAGAATATTCTGGATTAACAAAGTAATAACAACCAAATACGGTATGTGATTCTTGATTTGATCAAAGGCAGAGGGTTAATTTTTCAAAATAAAAAAGCTAAGAAAAAGTAATCTCAAAAAAAAAAAAAAAAAAGGACACCACCACATCCTCAAAACTCTTGACTGGATTAGGAACGGAATACTCTGAAACTAGAGAACAGTCATCCTAACAAGTTTGGGACTCTTAACTCTGGATTTGTCTAAAACAATAGTGAGCATTCACCACAGTTCTCTAGGTAGAGTCGGGTGGAGAGGAAATCCGACTCAGACCACTGAACAGGGCCTGACGCATGACCACATGCACCCTTGCGACCATCACTGCAGCCTCGGTCTGCAGGAGCATGACCCAGCCAAGTGGGACTGGATCAAGGAGCCACCACTGGCTTAAAGCTCTTGGTTTCTTCACTTTGATACAAATTCTAGATTATCCAAAAAGCCTTGAAAGCATGTGCCTATTAATGCTAGTGGAACAAGATCCTTTTTTAAAAAACCTTCACACCACAAGCCCAAACCTGTGGCTGTGTTCCCCTACATACACCACAACACAAGCACTGGGTAAAGATGAATATTTATTCACTTTACAAAGAGAATGGTATTAAATTGCCATAAACAGCTCCATTTATAGACAAATATAACTATACATTACACCAGTAGCTGACTCTAACTTTCCCAAGATGCTTGTACGGCTCCAGCTCTACTAGTTGAGCACGGAAATCTGCCAACGAAGTGAGAAGTCCCTCAGAGATAATGGTTTTATGTTTTACATATTCACAGGTGGGAAAAATAAACCCATCTCCCCAGCCCTTTCTTAAGAGTTGAGTTTCTATCTGCATGTTCCCTAGAGAGCACTGAGCAAATACTGGCTCATTCTTAAAAAAAAAAAAGGTTACTGATAATTTGAAAAGGCTTTTGTAGCACACAAAATACTTCTTTATACATACATAAAAAATCTTGAGTCAGATTTATTTTAAGGTAAACATACCCTAACACTGCCAAGAGTGGGTAATGAAAAGGAACACATTAAATTACGGAATTATAAAAATATTTTCTTTGGAAAAAAATTCCAACAAGGTTATCATTAATATCTAAAACCAAAGAGAAAAAAATAAACAATTGTTCTTTGATCCATTAGTAATTTAAATAAAAATGAAAACCTCTTCAAAAGCAGCTATAACTGAATCTTTTAAAAAGTTGCAGGTAATGAGCACTTCTAAATCTATACACTGATGATTCTTTACAGGCAACCTGCAGTCAAGAAAAATCCTTAATATGGCTAATTCTTTAGTTTTTAATCATGATTTTTGTGTATTTTAAAAAAATATTTCACATGACAGCTTGAAAAATAAGTGGTTGTTTTGGGGAAGCACTCCAAATATTCAATCTGATTCAAATCAGATTACCACAGTTGAGAAGCTAGGAAAACTGGTGATTTTATTTTTTTAATCACAATCATTTTTACTCCAGTTTTTAGTTTATCCCTTCATGTTTTATGAAAATGTACCAAATTAAAATTTTTTCACTAGTGCTGCTTCGTATCAGGATGTGATGAAAGATACCAACCTGAGATAGGAGCTGACTCCTTCATTAAAGTCCAGTTCTTGAACCCCTACATGGGAAATGTCTTTTCACTTATGTCAATTCTTGGCATAACCAATCATACTAGGATATTATATTATAAAAATATACCATATATTGGACACTCATGTCAGTACATTGCAGAAAATGTGTCTATTTACTGTGTAAAGTTTATTAACATCTGAATGAAACTCTCTTATTTACACAGTTAGGTCTGGGGTGCTCAGAACAGCAAAGTGGCATAGGAACCACCATTAAGAATTTGGAAATGTGCAGCGGTCCTTGGCATCTGTCAGAGACAACCCTCCCCAGGAGAACTCGGCAGCAGTGGGTAAGGTAAGCCAGTTTACATAGTTCGTTTGGCTTGTTCTTTTCTGTTCATTCTTCTTCACTTTCATTTTCAGGATCTAAATCAGAATCTCCATTTAATTCCTTTTCACTTGCTACATCTCTGTCCTCACCATTTTCTTCATCTTTTTCTTCATCATCCCCTTCTTCCTCTTCATTCTCTTCATCAACATCTTCATCTTTTTCACTTGCTTTCTCATCCTCATCTTCATCCCAATTATCCTGGTGGAAATAACAAGCAAAGAAAGCATGATTAAAGGCCTCATTCTTACAGAGTACAAGGATAAAAGGCATATTTATGTACCAGGAAACAAATTACTCACATCAGAATCCTTATCTGCTATTTCATCATCAGATTCTTCTTCAGAAGATTCTGTAAGGAGAGGGAAACCTAGTTTTAATTCTGTGATCAAAGGAAAGGGCACAGCACTGAAAGCTAATAAATGGAATCAAACTCCTGAATTAACTTTTAGAAATGTATTTAGCTGTCCTCCATCCAAGAAAGATTATATCATACTTATAAAAGGAGCATAATGTAATGAATGCCAATTATATCTCAACAAAAGTGGGGAGGAAAGGTGGGATCACAAAAAGTGTAATTCAGGTATGTTTTTATGTTCTTCAGTTATGTTTTATAGCTTTCTCTATAAATGTTTTGTTTCATTTTTTAGAGGTATTTCTAGATAGTTTTGGATGCTGCTGTGAAAAGGATCATTTTCCTAATACATTTTCTGAATGGGACATAATAAAGGTACCAACTCCTTTTTTGCTAGATCTTGGTATCCAGTAAGCTTGCCTATTTGTATATCTTAATAACAGTGCAACTGCAGATTCTGCTGTATTTTGTATGTGGAGAAGAATAACAACTGCAAGGTAAAATGTTCTAGAATTCATTTCTTTTATAAAGTACAGGCAGGATATCCAGAAGTAATAAAAGGTACACTACTGTCTTGTTCCTGACTTTATGGGAATGCTTCTCAACTTTATGTCTGATGTAGATTTATTACGGAAACTCCCTTACTTAAAATCCTAGGTTGCTTAATGTATAGTGCTCATGGTAATTTGTTAATGTGGTAATAACTACAATGGTAAGACTTCTTGATGCTAAATCATGTTATAATCTTTAAATACATTCTATTTGGCAACGAAACATGATTTTACTTCTATAATTAATCTGCTACTTAGGATATTTGAGGATGGCCTAAAATGCTATTTTGACTAACATTTTTCTGGTTCTGTTTCATAAAATGCCTAAATTGTTCGTATATGACAAAAATGACTTGCTCCTTAAAAGACTGATAAAAGTCATTTATGAAATCTGTGTCTGGTACCTTGTGAGGAAAGATTTTGATTAAGTAAATTTAAAACTATTAGTTCAAGGTTTCTATTTCTTTCTAAGTCAATTTTGGTCACTGAAGCTTCCCAAGAAATTACCTATACCATCCAGGTTTTCTGTATCTACACAGTTGTTCATGGTGGTGTTCTATTTAAATCTCTTCCATACCTAATGCTCTTTTTTGTTACTATATTTGTGCCCTCTTTTATTTGATCACATTTTTGCCGGTTTTGCCAAGGGCTTGCCCATTTTATCAGTGAAGGTGTGCCAAAGCATGATCTTACTCACAAGTCACAGAGCTGAGTCAATATGAAATGAACTGTTTAGCATATACCCTAAGTCTTTACCTTCTTCATACACCAACTTTGCCTTCTGAGCAGGACAAGTCGTTTCCTTTGTTTTCTCTGACGCTGTAACCTGAAAGATAATCAAGTGCTATTGATACTATCTCAAGTATCACACAACCTTCCCCAACAGTAAACTCACCCTCAGCCACTGTAATGGATGGCCTTAATGATGCAGTTCAAATACAGGGCAAAAGACAAGGGCATCAAATACAAGAAAGAAAGAATTACTCTGTGTAAGCTGAAAATGCTTCTAAGGTAAGATTTCTTTCTGTGACCAAAAGCTATAGCAATACCCTGTGACTCTTGTTCACAGCACGTCACAACCATTCTAACTATATTAACAATTGAAACATTGATGGTGACGAGTTAAAGCTGACACAGGTACAACAAAGCTTACTTCCTGTCAAATACATAGTATTGCATAGTTAAAAATTAGATCTTCATCTGCCCTCTTAGCGCAGTAGGCAGCACGTCAGTCTCATAATCTGAAAAATTAGATCTTCATCTACCAATTTTTGTTTTAACTGAAATAGGGCACTTTCAACATTCAGGCAAACAATCCTTATTCTTCTCTCCATTACTATGACATTCAAAAGTTTAGCACAAAACAATCTGATCTACTCACTTGTGTGATTAAAAGGATGAGCTTTCCGTGAAGGTGGGAGAGCTTCTGAAAAGTTTTTACTCTGCTTTCCATTAACTGGTACAGTGTCCCCAGCTGGGGTACCAGGTCAGGCAACTACAGAAAAATGACAATAAAAACGATACTTTGACACTATCATAACAAAACATAGTTAACAAATGTATAATGCTCACGTATGCCTGTGTATTCAGCCCCAAGCAAATGCCTGTACTTCTAGCAGCAGTGGCAGCCTATCATATAGCCTAGCAAAATCTCAAATTTTCAGAGGCCTTTACTGTACTAACAGCAAAAAAGAATAATACATTTTTTAAGAAGAACGATACAAGGTCAAGAGAAACTGCAAGGCAAGACAAACTGCAGGGTGGGACCTCTTTGTGTTGATCATGTATTTTTGAGAACATGAATATAAAGGAGACACTAAATAAAAAGTACCCTCAACCACGTATTTCTTAAAAAGGACTTCACTCTGAAACTTCCTCTCTGATGATATCACAAGATCTACCTCTACCATTAGGTCCCTGTAGCTAGAGGAAGCTTTTCAGAGCTTCCAGAGATCCACAGGACAGAGTGACAGACTACAAAGCTGACAGAGTATTTCAAACATACTTCCTGTTAGTGAATCCTGACTTCAGAAATTAAAGCAGGAAATTATTTTATTCGTCCCTTCAGAGCTATAGAAATTGAGACCCCACTCTTTGCCCTTTAACTAGCCTTTACTTGCCCTCCTATCTCTGACACTAAAGTAAACAAGAGTGTTTCATTTTAAACAGTAAAAATGAGTGTGTGTACATTACTAAAGCCCCCGTGCCTAACAGTCTTTGACTTAAGAGAAGGTGTTTAAAGATACCTGATAAGGAAGAAATTAAGGAAAGGTGGAAGAAAAGCACTGTTCTCTGAGGAAAGAGAACTGTTTTGAGCTGCAGAGTCTACCCTATACTGTACTTCCACAGTCTATTTTGCCCTGACCTACATAATACAACTACCATTCCGGTTAACTTTTTTTTTTCATTTATTTTTATTAGTTGGAGGCTAATTACTTTACATCATTGCAGTGGTTTTTGTCATACATTGAAATGAATTAGCCATGGATTTACATGTATTCCCCATCCCGGTCCCCCCTCCCACCTCCCTCTCCACCCGATCCCTCTGGGTCTTCCCAGTGCACCAGGCCCGAGCACTTGTCTCATGCACCCAACCTGGGCTGGTGATCTGTTTCACCCTAGATAATATATGTGTTTCGATGCTGTTCTCTTGAAACATCCCACCCTCGCCTTCTCCCAGAGTCCACAAGTCTGTTCTATACATCAGAGTCTCTTTTTCTGTTTTGCATATAGGATTATCGTTACCATCTTTCTAAATTCCATATATATGTGTTAGTATACTGTAATGGTCTTTATCTTTCTGGCTTACTTCGCTCTGTATAATGGGCTCCAGTTTCATCCATCTCATTAGAACTGATTCAAGTGAATTCTTTTTAATGGCTGAGTAATATTCCATGGTGTATATGTACCACAGCTTCCTCATCCATTCGTCTGCTGATGGGCATCTAGGTTGCTTCCATGTCCTGGCTATTATAAACAGTGCTGCGATGAACATTGGGGTGCACGTGTCTCTTTCAGATCTAGTTTCCTCGGTGTGTATGCCCAGAAGTGGGATTGCTGGGTCATATGGCAGTTCTATTTCCAGCTTTTTAAGAAATCTCCACACTGTTTTTCAAAGTGGCTGTACTAATTTGCATTCCCGCCAACAGTGTAAGAGGGTTCCCTTTTCTCCACACCCTCTCCAGCATTTATTGCTTGTAGACTTTTGGATAGCAGCCATCCTGACTGGTGTGTAATGGTACCTCATGGTGGTTTTGATTTGCATTTCTCTGATAATGAGTGATGTTGAGCATCTTTTCATGTGTTTGTTAGCCATCTGTATGTCTTCCTTGGAGAAATGTCTGTTCAGTTCTTTGGCCCATTTTTTGATTGGGTCATTTATTTTTCTGGAGTTGAGCTGGAGGAGTTGCTTGTATATTTTTGAGATTAATCCTTTGTCTGTTGCTTCGTTTGCTATTATTTTCTCCCAATCTGAGGGCTGTCTTTTCACCTTGCTTATAGTTTCCTTTGTTGTGCAAAAGCTTTTAAGTTTCATTAGGTCCCATTTGTTTATTTTTGCTTTTATTTCTAAAATTCTGGGATGTGGGTCATAGAGGATCCTGCTATGATTTATGTCAGAGAGTGTTTTGCCTATGTTCTCCTCTAGGAGTTTTATAGTTTCTGGTCTTACATTTAGATCTTTAATCCATTTTGAGTTTATTTTTGTGTATGGTGTTAGAAAGTGTTCTAATTTCATTCTTTTACAGGTGGTTGACCAGTTTTCCCAGCACCACTTGTTAAAGAGGTTGTCTTTTTTCCATTGTATATCCTTGCCTCCTTTGTCAAAGATAAGGTGACCATCATTCCGGTTAACTTAAGGGCTGAATCCAGAAGGGATTCACTTCAAGTCCTCCTAAGGCTCTTTTCACCTCTAAGCAATTCAACGAGGTCACAAAAGTGCTGTACTATGCTTGTGGTGATCTCTCCATTCCCATCACCATGCCACTCAACCACCACCCCTCAACTCCCCAAGGCTTCTGTAAGCTAGGAAAACCAATATGCACTGTTTCCTGTCTCTTCCCCCATTTTAACTCCCTGACAGAAATCACCACAGACATACAGAGAACGAACTGCCAAACTCAAAACAGGTTATCCAGTAGTCTTTCCTATCTCAAACTACTGAAGGAAAAGGAGCCTGAGAACAAGGGACAGTGATCAGGCAAGAATCGAGTGAAACTGTGTTAAGAAAGGAAGAGCTATAGTTTAAAGAGCAATTAAGAATTTTCAACTCTCCATTAAAATCTTTCAAGAAAACCTACTGAAAGATGCTAGATAATCAAATAAAAAGAGGAAAAGGCCAACTGCATGATTTTATTCCTAGTTTAATATAATTGAATTAATGATGTGGTAATAACTTCTATTATGAGATATAGAACTATTTTTTTTTCTAGTGCTGCTTTAAGATTTTACACTCCTCCCCCCCCAAAAAAAAGATTTTTACACTCCCTCCCTTACATCTGTATAGGTAATAAGCAGCTGATAGTTGCCCCAGCAAAACGTCAGGTGTTAAATATTTATATAATTTTTATCACAAACTACCCATTTAGCCTCCTGAGGCAATGTACAACAGACATATTAACACGAGGGATATAAACTTTTAAAAGTTACTAAGCTTTTTAGCAGGAGGTGGAGAGATACACACAATGTAAATATAATTTTGCTAAACAGGTTGTGTATATAGAAAAACATCTGAAGGCTCCTATGTAACTTTTCTCCTTTCTGTATTTTTCAAGCTTCTCTACAGAATATATATTACTTCTAAAATCTGGGTCAACAAAAGACATTTATAAAAGGTAACAACAATGACAATATGATATTGCACCTGGGGAAAAAAACAAAGTCTTTGAAAGAAGCGGCTGACAGTTAAAGGGTAGATGGTTTTTGTTAAGCCATCAGTTTATAATCCTTATCAAATCCAAACTATTCAACAACTCCAACTGAATAGACTTACTGTGGATAAGTAGGATGCATGGACCGTTAACACACATTTTAGCCACTGAACCATTAAAATAGCACTGAAAAAAAACACACACACACAACAAATCAACTAATATTCACAAATCCAAAAGTAAACACAACAGAGTTATAAAGATCTAGAAAATGACTCCAATAATAAACCACTATTGAATATGACAGTCCTTTCATTCTTTCACTGGGTCTATTTGAGATCTGTGTAATATAGGAATATCTTGGGAAAGGGAGGGGGTAGTAAGATGGACTAGGTGACAGGACAAAAACCCCTTCCTCTAAAAATAATTCCATTTCAGATATAAAACTAATGTTTTACTTCATAATTAGCTGATACCAAGGCAGTAAACTGGGCTCAGCTGACACTGCATTTTATGCTCATGTATCTGAGCCCATCTGTTCATCATAAGGAACAGACAGCAAAAGATTTCCAAACCAGCATTAAGACAAACACAGGCCAAAAATGTAAGTCAGGCTCTAATTAATGAACTCTTCAACTTTCCTCTGTGAGCTCCAAAGTCTAATGGAGTCTATCAAGAAAAACAACTTAGAAAAGAAAAAATATATTATAGACACTGATGATGCCATAGTCCAAGCTTAAGATCTTTGAGAAATCAACACCCCTGCCATGTGTGCTAAGCTGTTTCAGTCGTGTCTGACTCTGCGACCCTATGGAGCCCGCCAGGCTCCTTTGTCCATGAGATTCTCCAGGCAAGAATACTAGAGTGGGTTGCCATGCCCTCCTCGAGGGGATCTTCCCAATGCAGGGATCAAACCTGTATCTCTTACATCTACCTGCATTGGCAGGAGGGTTCTTTACCACTGGCACCACCTGGGGAAGCCTATTAACACCCTATCTAAATATTTAATCATCAAATTAACAAAAGATGACTCATAAAATTTATATAAAATCTTTTCCTTATAGTGTCTTCTAGCCAATACCAGAGGTTGAGCAAGTTCTACAAATGGCCAGCTTTACACATCATGATTAGGCCTAAATCATGAAATATTAACCCACTAAATGACCTGATAATAAAGTTGTTTTCTAAAAGAAAGGAGAAAAACTGTAATACAATCTTGGAAATAAGAATCATTCAATTTAAAATAAGTGCAGAGATCAATATTTCACAATTAAAAGAGTTTTATTAGAATTTGGGGCTACTGACTATGTAGTAACATGCTCTAAGACATTGCTATTATTAAACAATCACATTTAAAGTATTTATAATATCAATGCAATTTAGGTTGCCTAAATGTTTTACCTATTAGGATGTCCTTGTAATCTCTTTGTAAGCTGAGGAAAAGAAAAACAGTATTAGTCACAGTACTTCAGAGCCAGCCAATCTCCATCAATTCACACGAAAACACATCCATAGAACCAAAGGAAAGGAACAGATGTATTAGGAAATCATTATTCTTGTTTCCTAACTCCTAAATGTTTGACCAATTAATTTAACATCATCTAGGAATACATTCCTAAAATAACAGTAATTATCTGATAAAAATCTAGGCTAGGATTTATGAATGAATGTTCAAAATAGACACAAAGACAGAAAATAGATTAGTGGTTGCCAGAAACTGGGAGGAAAGGACAAATGGGGCGTGACTAATGGGTACAGGCTTTCTTTTTGGTGCGGCAGTTATACAGTCTATAATATACTATACAACACTGTACACTTTAAAGATATCTAAATTATATCTCAATTTTTAAAACATATAGAAAAAAATCTAGGTTAGGAAACTTTTGGCTGAGGAGATCTAATGGTCATCTATCATCCACTCTAAGCACCCTGCTTGCTTACATACTACAAATCCATGTCTGGATTTTCATCTTCGAGTCATAGCATTAGGACCTTAGAATGAAAAGTGTTCTCAGTTACCTCTTTCAACAACGGAATAACAGCATGCAGGGGCATCCTTAATACAGTTCTCTTTATTAAGTTTAAATTCCTAGTTTGAAGTACTTTCTGTGAGGGGGGAAAAAAAATACAAATAAGCATACTCAGAAACTAAGGACACTACAGGAAATACTGTCAGTAAAAATGATCTTAGAAACCACACGATGAAGAACCAACTGAATTTTAGCAAATAAAGGTTGGGATTAAATGAAGAATGTTGCACTATTTCTTATGGCTATCAGACAAGTATAGTCAGCAAGTTATCAGGACATTACTCCTTGGACTCTTTACCTTCTAGCTTCCCTTCGACCCCCCTCCCTCAGGTAACTACTGAACTATATATTGGTTTGCATTTTCTAGAATTTTTATATAAATGAGATCAAGCTAGATGTACTTTTTTTGCCTGGCTTCTTTCTCATAGCATAAGTTCGAGATTCATTCATGTTGTTGATGAAGCAATACACATTCCTTACACTGCTAGATAATAATTTGTTTATCCCTTCACATACTGAGGGTTCTTCCCAGCTTGGGGCTGGTAGAAATAAGGCTGCCCTGGCCATTCCTGTACAAGTCTTTGTATGAACATTGGTTCTTGTGGTAAACACCTAAGGACAGAATGGCACATTCTTGTGGTAGATGTGTCCTTAAGAAACTGCCAAACTGTTTTCCAAAGTAGGCATACTATTTCACTTCCCACCAGCAGGACATGAGAGTTCCAGTTACTCTGCATACTCCCCAACAGATGGTACTTAAATTTTAATAAATCTATAACAGGCATGCAGCTGTCATCTCATTGTGGCTTTAATTTGCATTTATGATGATTAATGATGTTTAATACCTTTATCTGCACTCACTGGCCATTGGAATATCTGTGAAATATCTGTTCACACCTTTACCAATTGGTTTTTACTTGAGTTAAGTCTCACAATGAGTTAAAAGAGCTCTATAAATTCTGGATATAAGTTCTCTGTCTGATATATAAGTTGCTTTTTCTTTGCCAGCCTGTGGCTTGCCTTTTCATTATCTTAACAGTGCCATTTCAAGAAAGAAGCTTTAATTTTTTATTAAATCCAAGGGACCAATATTTCCCTAAATGTGGATTTCTGTTGGAATATAGTTTTTAAGAAAGAGAAAAAAGTAAACGTTTACAAGGCAGTCAGCGAGAGGTAAACACATATTAACTGGATATTTGATAATTTTAAGGAATCACCATTTACTTTTTTAGGTGTGATAATAGATTGTGGTTATGTTTTTAAAAGGAACTGCTATTGTCAGAGTTGAACAGGGGTATATTTGTGGTTGAAATAAATAATAGGTCTAAAATTTGATTCACTATAACCTGGGGAGGGGTGTGGCAAACAGATAAAACAAGAACAGACAGGTTGGTTAGTGTTGATAATTTTTCAAACTGAGTGATGGGTTCATTGTGGCCCAATGTACTATTACGAGATGTTTCTTCAAAAAAACAAAAAGATAATTCTGATTCACTTGTACTAAGGAATTCTTCAAACCACAATTAAGTAAGCTATGATGGCAAATAAGCTATATTTTTAAAAACACTGTCACTTGTTTTCTGTAGCTTATTTTTCACCAAATCCTCACCAAGGTTTCTATACCATGTTAAACTAAAATTGACCTCCCCAGATACATGCACTCACAAACTATTTTGAAAGTAATTTTAGGTTTTCATATATGTCTGGTTTCCCCCCTCATTTTACAAAATCACCTTAAACATAAGATATCCCCATTTAGATCAAAATATAAAGCAGAGAAACATTATTCATGGGTTGCCTATTCAAGTCACATCTATACTAAGTGGCACTAAGACTCACTAATAACAAATGCACTTAGCAAATGTAAACCTGCTTTAATCTAGGTAGTGCTTAAGTCCATTTTTTTTACACTTAAATTTTCCCTACAGACCACTTTCAAATTCTGGAATTTAAGAGGACCAAATTAAGCAACATACAAGCAGTCACCAACTTACAAACACAAAAATAGCAAATGCCTCCCTTTTATATACCCCCAACCCTCTTGAATTTTTCCCTCAAACCTCCTATCCATTGCCAAGGTTCCACCTCACCGCCCCCTCTCACGGCCAGGGGGAAATAAGTTTCTGGAATCCAGAGTAAAAACTCAGGAACGCATTTTCCTACAGAAAAAAATATAAATTGTGATCTAGAATGCTGAGTATTATAATTCAGCTACACAACGTTTATAAAGGCTTTTGTGAACTAAAGCCTAAGAACCCAGTAACAAGTCACAACAATATTTCTATGAGAAAATGCATTCCAGGTTCAAAATAACTCAATTCAATCCCTTTGTAGGTTGGTGACTGTCTGTATAGTGCCACCAAGAGATAGACATTTGACTAAACTCACAAAACATTAAATTCAAAACAGTACATGACTATTCACTCTGTAAATGTGCTGTCAATCGCCTTCTAAGGAAAATTAACCATCTTATTTCCTTTAAAAACTGCTATAATACTTACATTTAGAATTTCAAAATCATTACTTTCTAAGCCCTGTGTGAGGAGAACTGGAAAACTATTTGTCTGTGGAAGGTCATCCTTTTCTTTTTTTGTAGCTATATCCAGGGCTCCCAGGCGTTCTTCAATGCTAACCTACAGAACATAAATGACCAGTTAATGTTGCACCAGACAAGACCTAAAACAGTTTGGTCAAATTACACATGCTCTTTCTCATTCCTACAGAATCTCATCACCATAAAGCCAATGTTGCACACAAGTGTAATATCTACAGTCCGAGTTCGCAGATTTTAGGGGGGAAAGAAAAAACCTGAAAAATCACAATTTGAGAATGTAATTCATAAAAATTCCTCTATAAGATTCAAATATGATAAAGATCTGGCATCTGATTATTAGAGCCTAAGAAAAAAACCTATTATTTTCCCCATCTATAATTTTCTATAAAAGCTTCCCCTTCTATAACTTTCTCTTGCCATCAACCTCAAGTCTCTTGCTAACAAATATTATCAAAGGAGCACAAAAACAGGTTCCCCCCAAAATTTATAAGATATCTTCCTATTTTTCTTTTTATTTGCTACAAAAACTCACTTGTACTTAACCAATCCCTTCTGAAAGCAAATCTAACAACTATGCTCTGCCAACCCCTTGGTAAATGAATCAAAATACACAGGTTCTATTATTACCAAAACAAACAAATATGCTCTGGTAAAGCCTCCTGTCTGGGATATATTTTATGAAAAACAATTTTTAAAAGGAAGGATGAAATTAAAGGGTTGGATCCAGGCCAAGCTAGAGAGAGTTGGCCATTATTTTTACATACATATACCATGTTATTGAGGAATAATTTTTATAAATAAAGCAAGACATTTAAAATCAGGTAAAGAAACATAACATTCTTTCTCTAACAAAACAGTTAAAATTTTAGATTATTTAGATAAGACTGACAAGTGAATGGAAGACAAAAAAGGACTTTTCATTGACAAGAACAATAAACCATAAGAGGGTTTTAAAAGTTGCAAAAAAATGAAATTTATAAGTGCTTTAAAAGATTATAACGATGATCACTTTTAACTAACTAGCACTAAACCAGCCAGGAATGCTCAGACAGCCAAGAGATAAGGCATCATTGGAATTCAGCAACATGCGAAACCCAATGAAAATCATCACAGCAAGTCCTGGTTTAAACTACAATTACCTTATACAGCTAAAAATTAACAAATGGCCAGAAGAGCACCCTCTTTAGTTAACAGAGTTTTGTCCTCTCCATTTTCTGAAGTCTTCAGCTTTGGCTCCATCCAATACACTTGTTAGATTCTCCCAAGTCATCTTAAATTTCAAACTCAAAAATGGTCAGAAGGATTGTATTACCTCCTTTTCCCCCAATTTCCTCTTGCTCTCTACTTCCTTGGTCTGTGGAGGAGCAGGCTTGATAGCTGCGTGATGACCAGGTATCCCGGGCACCAGAACTTTTGCTTCAGAATTCATCACTGGTGTCCTCACCTGTTACACAGGAATAGGAGGCATGTGACAAGGGAAATTACGTCTTTAGTCCTTGTAAGATTTATCCCCAGTGAGAAAACTAACAGATTTTAAAAGGTTTTCCTACTGAAAAGCTTAATACAACTAACTCAATAGGATATGAATTAAAGATACATTTTAATTGAATATGGGCATTTAAGTACAATCTGAACATTCATGGTTTTAAAGCTTTGAACACTGGGTAAGAAAAAGAATCAAGAAAAACAAAATCTACTGATTACCTAATGACACACTGACTTAAAAACGATAATAGTGAAGGTGCACATTTTACAACTACCTTCAATAATTGATCTTTGCCAGAAATGCTCAGACAGCCAAGAGAAAGGTGTCATCTCTGAAACTCAGCCAGAAGCGAAACCATATGGATGTCATCATAGCATATCTTGGTCATTAAACTGCCAAACACATGTCTACACGTAGATGCCACATTATATTCAAAACGGAGCATCACAATAATGCTCTTATGTATGGTATTTAATTCCAGCCCCATCACGGATTCAGGTTTTATTTCACCCTGAAATAAACAATCCTCTCAACAAAGTTATGCTGCTTTTTAAGTACAGAAACTGCTAAAAATAATTGACAAATCTGATATTTACTCAGTGATACTGCATGGGGGGATAGAGGAAGAAGAATTAAATAAATCCAAGGTTTTCAACTTCTAGTCACCTATGCACTCATTCATTCAACAAATTAAGAACACAGAAATGAATAAAGTTTTACAATCTTGATATCTAAAACCTAATCCCACAAAGTTAAGACAGGATCACAAACAAAATTAAATCTAAACATAATATTACATAACGATTCAATGCAAACATCTTTTTTTTTAACTTCTAATATACAATGCACTCACCTTTGTTATAGCTGTTTCTACTTTTGGGGCCCAGCAGTTTGAAATATCTCTTATTAAACACATATGAGGTTCTTTGGAATTCAAAGCCTGGGGACAGGATTTTCAAGGGGGACAGAAGGTGGAAGAGGGGGGGGAAAAACTGTTAAACTGAGTAATTGGGAGTAAGAATAAAGTGAAAAAGAAATGCCTACTTGTGCATATTTATAAAAATACAAAAAGGTACAGAATGCTTCCAGAAAAAACTCCTAGTCACTCAGACTAATCACCATTCAGACTGGGGGCATTTAAGGAAAATGGATAAACTCTCAAGATCGCACACATAATGTTTACTTTCCTTAGTTATGAACTGCTTAAAGTTTTCACATGTGCAGCTTCAAAAGATTGAGAGTTAAAATGTAACAGGTTTTAAAGAAAATATTATCAGCTCATTGCCCTTGTAAAGAATAATATGGTAAAAAAGACTGGTCCTACACTAAACTTTCCTACTGCTATCCTTCCACAGGCTACTCAAAGAAGAGTACTGGCTCGAACATGAATTTCTATGTCCTGATACAGTAATAAACGGGAAGTTTATGCAGCAAAACCCCTATGTATCTATAAGGCTTTGAAGTTACAGGTAATTTTCTATATCCACACAATCAATCAATATCTGAAAGACACAAAGCAAACAGGTAAGGCTGCATCCGGAGCGTGGGATTATTAAAGGAGCCACATATGGTAAGAAGGCTTACGTTCACAGCTTAACACTTCTCTCCCCTTTCATCGTATCATATCCATGTATCATGTTTTTTAAAAGTAAGTAAATAGTTTTAAATCGAATCAACAACAGATTGCCTGAGCAAGAAATATTCTCTTACAGCTTCATCTACTGGATATGCTCATAATTACACACCAAAAGTCCTCAAGAAACTTTTGTAATCAAAAAATTTAAATCATTGCCCCACCTATCACATTTCCACTTGGAATATTCAATATGTGATATTACCACAAAATCTTATTTATCTTTTGGGTAAATGGGCAACATTCACCCATACCTGTGGCTACTTAGCACTTAAATGTGACTAGCCCAAAGTGAGATGTGCTTACAAGTGAATAATACATGCCAGACTTCAAAGACATAATACCGAATAAAAGGAGAGTAAAACATCTCAAATAATGTTTTATATTGACTCGGCATTAAAATGCTATCTTGGATATACCGAGTTAAGTACAATTACATAGGTGACCCTTGAACAACACAGAGCCTAGGGGCGCCGACCTTCCATGCAATGGAAAATTCAGCACTTATAACTTACAATGAATCCGTAGTTCTGCAACTGTGGATTCAACCACCTTGGATGGTGCAGTAGTATAGTATTTACTATTGAAAAACCCCTGTAAAAGTGGACCCACACAGTTCAAATCTGTGTTGTTTAAGGATCAACTGTAGAACCAGAGTTCTCACAAGTTAAAATAAACCACCCACTGAAAGGTCCCTCAGTTAAAGGGAAATATATGACATCTTCTTAAGTATTCCAATAAGCAGAGCAATGTATCCTTTCACAAACATCATCTACCAGAGATGTACTGATGTTATACTGCTTTATTTCAGGAGCATCTACGTACCACTCGCTCAATGATGGGCTGAAACCAATTGCCATACACAAGCAACAATGACATTTTGTCTGAGCAGAAACCAGCTGCTAAAATAGGGATAGGTTTTGGTGTTGATTTCTTGCCTTTCCCAGGTGTTGCTATCTGAATTGTACAATTCGAAGTCAAAGGCTTTTTGCAGTACCTAGAAACGGAAAAACAATTAGATAAGAAAATGTGAAAATAGGACTTCCCTGGTGATGCAGTGATAAGAATCTGTCTGCCAATACAGGGGACACGGGTCCAATCCCTGATTTGGGAAGACCCCACATGCCAAGGAGCAACTAAGCCCTTGAGCCACAACTACTGAGCCTGCGCTCTAGAGCCCAGGAGCCAAGACTATTGAAGCCTGGACACTACAGAGCCCACGCTCTGCAACAAGAGAAGACACTGCAATGAGAAGCCCACACACCACACCAGACTAGCCCCTGCAATGAGAAGCCCACACACCACGAGAAGAGTAGCCCCCGTTTACGACAACCAGAGAAGGCCTGCACGAAGCCATAAGGAGCCAGTGCAGCCAAAACATATATTACTTAATTAAATATAAAAAAAGAAAATGTGAAACACCATTTCACACTAATTCTTTGAAGTTGGTGTCAAGTAAAGAAATGGAATCCTCCACTGGCCTCCATGTGACCACCAGGAGTGAGAGGGTCCCCAGAGCACCAGTGTTTCTGTCATCTATCCCCACCCTGCCAACATTCAAGACCTCACCACCAAAACCTGCCATGAGGTACACCTGCTCTATCCCCACAAAAGGCCCCGAGCTCCCAAGTGTTCTTTCACCACCATGAGCTTTCAGACCCAAATGGCTCTGTCCACACCCTACTCCCCTCAGGCCCATCTCTAAATGCTTCCAATCTCCGAACACTCATCATGACCTCTGCAACACACTTCTAGGAGCAAAATAATCAGTAAAATATAAGTGAAATTAGATCCTCAACTTAAGAGCTCACTCACCTTGCTCCAGGCTGCTCACCTCGGCAGCCCTCTCCACAGCCGTGTGCCGGGACCCTTCGCCATGACTTCAGTGTCCACCTTGTTCTTCACTAACATTCACTACAAGCAGTCTCTCCTTTCATCATCTTTAAAACCACTGAAATTGTCGTCACCAGCTAACCCTAATCCAATGGCCTCTGGATCACTAAGCACTTCTTAAAGACGTGAGTGGCTCACTGTCATTCTGTTCAACAATTCTGCTGAAGAATTCCTTTCTTGGTGACTTCACACACAGCATGCAGACGGATGATCCTTCTGACCCCCTTCCTCCCTCCCCTCCCTCAGTCCTAAGTCTTTTGCCTCCAACAACCTTATCCTTCCCTGTATCTCAGCCACACACACTCACATCACAGACATCTTATCACCAGTAAGTACACATCCTCTATAAATAATTCCAATTCTAAGCATCCCAACTAGCTTTCCAACTCTCTCTTCCTAGTTTCCCAACTCCACAACCATCTCCGGCCAGGATTTTTGGCCTCTGCTCTGGCCTTTACCCTTCTATGGCCTATTCTCTTCTCAATGTCTTAAAATTTGGGTCAAACTCCATCAATTATCAGTTTAAAATCCTTTAATGGTAGCCTACTGCCCAAGAAGAAATGGCCCTCTTCTGGGCCTGCAGTTATACATTCCATGTACACATGTGACTATGTGAACAAAGGCCTCCAGGGCTACACACCAAAAGGTGAACAGCTACCTCTAGGGAATGGAGCTCAATGGAGCTCCAGAGACTTGGGTTTTATAATCGCCTCTGTGTCCTGAATGTCTTAAAACCAATATATACTGCTTTCACACTTCCTATTGTAAAATGAAGGTGGTGGTGATAGTGGTGGTTTAGTCACTAAGTCGTGTCTGACCTGCAACACCGTGGAGTACAGCCTGCCAGACTTCTCTGTCCATGGGATTCTCTAGGCAAGAGTACTAGAGTACCTTCACCAGGGGATCTTCCTGACCCAGGAATCGAACCCGGGTCTCCTGCATTGCAGGCAGATTCCTTACTGACTGAGCTACGAGGCAAGCCACCAACTAACAATAAAAAGTTGAAACCATTTTAAAGTTTAACATCATTAATTTTAAAGTTTAACATCATTACACACATGACTTGCGTCTCAGACCATGTTCACAGCATGTGGCAAGAGCTGGCAAACTTTCTATAAGGAGCCAGACAGGGGGAAGGAGCCAAGATGGCGGAGGAATAGGACGGGGAGACCACTTTCTCTCCTACAAATTCATCGAAAGACCATTTGAATGCTGAGCAAATTGCACAAAACAACTTCTGATCGCTAGCAGAGGACATCAGGCGCCCAGAAAAGCAGCCCATTGTCTTCCAAGGGAGGTAGGACAAAATATAAAAGATAAAAAGGGAGTCAAAAGAGCTACGGACGGAGACCCGTCCCGGGAAGGGAGTCTTAATAGAGGAAGTTTCCAATCACCAGGAAACCCTCGCACTGGCGGGACTGGGGGAAGTTTTCGGCAATCTAACTGGGAGGAAAAATTAAACAAGGCCCACAGATTACGTGCCTAAAAGCAACTCCCAGCAGAAAAGTAACCCAGACACCCGTACCCGCCAGCAACAAGCGGGGGCGGGACGGAGAGGAGCGGGCGGCATTGCTTAGGGCCCGAACACACTGCCGGCGGTGCGCAAAACAAAGGGACTGAGAAAGTCCAGAGAAGAGCCGGCCCATCCCCGCTGGAGGTTGGAGGCAGGGGGTAGGGGAAAAGGGCAAACTCAGCCCCTGAGAAGCCACCCCCTCCCACACTGCAAACAGGCCCCCGGTTCCTATCTAAAGACTTCCTGAGACCCGACTGGCGGCGCGCGCTGGGGCCGCGGAGGGAAAAGGCGCGCCGCACCCGGGGAGAGTGCGCCCAAGCCTCTGGCTGCCTGAGCTGCCCGCCGCGGAGGGAAAAGGCGCGCCGCACCCGGGGAGAGTGCGCCCAAGCCTCTGGCTGCCTGAGCTGCCCGCCGCGGAGGGAAAAGGCGCACCGCATCCGGGGAGAGTGCGCCCAAGCCTCTGGCTGCCTGGGCCGCTCGCCGCAGAGGGAAAAGGCGCGCCGCACCCAGGGAGAGTACGCCCAAGCCTCTGGCTGCCTGAACCGCTCAGGCCGGGGAAGGCACAAAACGCAGGCGCAACCGAATCTGCGTTTTTGTGGAGTACCCGAAAACTGGAACCGCACTCAACGCAGGGCCCGCTCCATATAGAGCAGCCGGGAGCCTGAGCAGTGTAGACGGCAAAAGCACTGACACCCGTGAGCGGGGCAAACCCAGTGTGGCCGGAACACGGTGAGTGCTATCCACACAGAGCGGTGTCTGTCTGCAGCGCCCCGCCCTCCCCGTAGCAGGACTGAACTGAACTAGAGAACCTAAATAAGAGATCACCTCCACCCGCCTGTGTCAGGGCGGAAATTAGACACCGAAGAGACGGCAAACAGAAGCCAAATAAACAAAGGGAACCGCTTCAGAAAGGACCGGTGCAACAGATTAAAATCCCTGAAGGTAACACCGACTACACCAGAAGGGGCCTACAGATATCGAGAAGTGTAAGCTGGAAAGAGGAGCTATCTGAAATTGAACTGAACCTACGCTGACTGCAACAACTCCAGAGAAATTCCTAAGTATATATATATATATTTTTTAATTTAAAAAAAAAATTTTTTTTCTATCCTTTTTTTTTTAATTTTTTCTCTTTTATTTTCTTTTAAAATTCCCTATTACTCCCCCATTACTCCTCAACTTTCATTTTCATATATTTTTATGATTTTTTTAATTAGGGAAAAAAAAAATTTTTTTTCTTTTTTTTTCTTTTTCTTGTTTTTCTCTCCTATTTCCTTTTAAAGTCCTCTAATACTCCTCTATTATTCCTTAATTTTCATTTTCATTTCACTATAACCTTGCCAAAAAAAAAAAAAAAAAGAGAGAGAAACCCTATTTTTAAATCAAACTTCATATACATTTCTAAATTTTTTTTTGTTTTTGTTTTTAAATATTGTATTTCAAAGAGTCTAACCTCTACACTAGATTTTTAATCTTTGTTTTTCAGTAGTATGTGATATAAATTTTGGTCATTTAAGAATCCAATATTCAGTTCCCATTTCTGTTCAGGAGTGTGGTGATTACTCTCCCACTTTTGACTCTCTGTTTTCTACCTCGGAACACCTCTATTTCCTCCTTTCCCCTTCTCTTCCCAATCCAACTCTGTGAATCTTTGTGGGTGTCTGGGCTACGGAGAACACTTTGGGAACAGATAACTGCGTAGATCTGTCTCTCTCCTCTTGAGTCCCCTTTTTCTCCTCCTGATCACCTCTATCTCCTTCCTCCCTCTCCTATTCTTCATGTAACTCTGTGAACCTCTCTGGTTGTCTCTCACGGTGGAGAATCTTTTCACCATTAACCTAGAAGTTTTATTATCAGTGCTGTACAGTTGGAGAAGTCTTGAGACTACTGGAAGAACAAAACTGAAATCCAGAGGCAGGAGACTTAAGCCCAAATCTTGAGAAAACCAGAAAACTCCTGACTACACGGAACATTAAGGAATAAGAGACCATCCAAAAGCTTCCATACCTACACCAAAACCAACCACCACCCAAGAGCCAATAAGCTCCAGTACTAGACATACCACGCAAATTCTTTAGCAACGCAGAAACATAGACCTGAGTGTCAACATACAGGCTCTCCAAAGTCACACCTAACACATAGATCCATCGCAAAACTCATTACTGGACACTCCATTGCACTCCAGAGAGAAGAAATCCAATTCCACGCACCAGAACACTGACACAAGCTTCCCTAACCAGGAAACCTTGACAAACCAATCGTCCAACCCCACCCACTGGGTGAAACCTCCACAATAAAAAGGAACCTCAGACCACAAGAATACAGAAAGCCCACTCCAGACACAGCAATCTAAACATGATGAAAAGGCAGAGAAATACCCAACAGCTAAAGGAACATGAAAAAAGCCCACCAAGTCAAACAAAAGAGGAGGAAATAGGGAATCTACCTGAAAAAGAATTTAGAATAATGATAATAAAAATGATCCAAAATCTTGAAAACAAAATGGAGTTACAAATAAATAGCCTGGAGATAAAGATTGAGAAGATGCAAGAAATGTTTAATAAGGACCTAGAAGAAATAAAAAAAGGTCA